GGATGCAAATGATATGAATTTTAATCTACCACACTACTTTCAACGCAATTAGGAGAATTGACAGATTTCACAGAAATTATTGATGTGTCTGTATTTTTTTTTTTTTCCTCCGGGTGTACTGCCTTGGCCAGAGCTGACCAACGATTGGCGTAGAGTGTGCGAGGGCCTCAGCGGCCAGAGGAAAGGTGCCGTCGAGACACCGCCCGCGCGAAGCGCGAGGCGGCCGGGGGCCGGGGCGCGCGAGAGTCAAACGCGCCGCCGGCGTGCCGGTGGTTGGGCCACTTACGCCCGTGCCCCAGAGGGGCGGCGGGCAGGGCCGGAAGAAGGGGGTTTCCGGGGCGGCCGACGTGATCCCCGAGGCGGCCGCTGGGCGCCGTCCGTGAGGAGGCGCAGCACAGCGGCGAGATGGTAAAGGAGGGACGGTCCTGGCCGTGGAGGTGACCGTCCTGCTCCTGGCGGTCGAACTGTCGGCGCCGGTCCAGGCGGAGACCGTGGGCGGCGCGGACAGCGTGGCGAAGACGAAGGGTGAGGGCCGTCACAATTGGAGCAACGGGGAACCGCCTTGGCGGTGCAAGCGCTGGCTCTGTGGGCTGCTCCGCAGATGCGGCACGTGTCCTGTCGTGCGTCGCAATCCGCTGCCAAGTGAGAAGCGAACTTCTGGCACTTGTAACACTGGCGCAGGGCGTCGGCGGTCCACTGTGGACGGCGACGACGCCGCCGTCTCCGGGCCCGCTCAGGCGGGGCCACGGGAGGCGGCGGCCGGTGTGGAGCACTGTTGACATCGGCCGGGGCCTGCGGGGGCGGCCGCTGGGGCGCCTCCGCGCAGGGGGCGATGTCGAAGGGCACTACGTCGCGATCGACGTAGGCGCCCACAGTCACTGTCTGTCCATTCGTCAAGAAGACACTTACTGGTATGGCCCCCAGCGCGTCAAATGGGAGCCCTCTCTCAGCCAGTCGCAAGACAGCTGATTCCTCTCCAGCGATGGTCACGTACCCGGGCCGAGCTAATTCTTCTCGGTCGTCCACCATGAACCCGCCCATCCTGTCGGACTCTCGCTCCAGGGCGAACGTCAGGGCGGGGAGGGGCACGGCGGCGGCGACGTAGAAGACGAACAACTCGTCGTCGTCGTCCGGTGGGGTTTGTCGTCGAGGTGGGTCGACGAGCACCGCTGAGGGGGTAGGGCCTGGAAGTTCCTCAAGCCGCCACAAACTTCGCAGCAGACTGTTGAGGACCTTGATGGTGTCGGACAGGCGAGGGCCCTCGCGGCACTGTGCCACGAAGACCCCCGGGGTGATGAGGTGGATCCGGAGGTTACCCGGGTCCAAGGTGCCGGACATCCGCGCTTCGCGGATAGACATCAGCACCAACTGGGTTTGCTGAGCAGAAAGCTGGTTTGCACTCGCATCAATCAGCACGATCACCGAACTGTCGGCATCGAACGGGTCGGTCGCATTCGACTCCACGCGCGCGCGCTTTGGTGGCTGGCTGGCCGCGGCCGGGACGTCCGCACTGTGCGGCATCTCGGCAGCAAGTCCTCTCAGACACTTTTTCCGTCTGCTTGGCCCTTGTTTTGGCCGACATATTGACACACTGCACTGTAGCCAACCTGCGTCGCTGAGTTCGTCTTCGGGCACACTGAGCACTGGGAGGGAGAACAGCTCACAAGATGGCGAGAACTTTGCGGGGATAGTTTTGGGTTGGTAGCACTGCTCTGGAGCAGAAATGGCTGCCGACTAACCTCTTCGGCCACCGGCTATTTGATAGTCAATATTTCACAAACAAAGCCACTTGATCACTTGCTAACAACACTTATCATAGTTCAAGGTACTATTCACCGTCCAAACACCTCGCTTGGTTCCTCTGCTGCACAAACGCCTTCGAAACAATCAGATTCCCATCACACTCAGAATTCACGTCACTCCTCCATCTCCACCAGAGAGAGAGAGAGAGAGAGAGAGAGAGAGAGAGAGAGAGA